AAAACTTGAGACTTGAAACCCAAAACTCAAAAACTGAACACCACAAACCAAATCTCAAGACTCAAAAACTGAATCTCAAAAAAATGTAATAACATGAAATTTTTTATTTCATTACACAATTCACCAAGTGTCAAGTGCCAAAACCTGAAACCTGGACATATGTTTTGTAGTACCAGAGACCACCAAAACCTGAAACCCAGTACTACTGACTTCTGAGTGTTGGGACTCAGGACTTGGTAGTCAATATAGGCAAATGATAATGAAAAAATGAAAGTTGTAGTCAAGTCAAGGTGAGTGTCTTGGTAGTCTGTCCTTGTCATTGGGTATCATTTGACCAAGATATAAGCTGAAGAATCTGAAACATCAGTGATAATGAAAAAAAAATGAAAATCATTATTATGCTTCACTTCCTTAATGAGAGTTTTAGTCCAAGTCTATGTGAGTGTATTGGTGGTCCTACTGAGTGTTGGTACTCAAGACTTGGGAATCAGTACTTGGTACCCAGAATCAGTAGTTCCATACCTCTAGATGTCCTGTCCTTTGTATCTCTGGATGTCCTGTCCTCCATACCTCTGGACACCTGTCCTCCTGTCCCCCATACTTCCAGACCTCCAGACATGCTGTCCTCCTGTCCTCCAGACCTCCTACCTTTCCATCCTGTTTCCTGTAGAGATATTACCTTGGGGTCTCTCCACTTCCTGTGCAGTGGGAACTCCTCCAAGTATTTCCTGTACTCCTCCAGAACTCTCCCATGCTCCTCTGGATGTTTCCCATGCTCCTCCAGAAGTTCTCCCACACTCCACCAGAGTAGCCAGCCTCCGGAAGTCCTTCAGACTTCATCTGAAATGAAGGGCACATACTTGGGTAAGGGGCACAGCATATGAGCTGAGGCCAAGCCCCTCTGAGTCAGTCTCTCTCTCCCTTGAGCATGGTTCTTAACACATTGCCTTTTTCTTCAGCATAGTGGTATATAGTAGTAGGGAGAGGATACCACTGTGTTTTGAACAGGTATGAATGCTCATCTTAGAAGAGTGAGTCTGAGTTCAAGTTGCTGGTATGTTGGGTATTCATTATCTCTTGATTATTGATTATCACACTGATGTCACACTGAGCCTGGGCTTACAAATCAAAATTCTCAAGTTAGTTCAGGTTAATTTGGCCAAATGTGCATATCCAAACAGACTCAAATTTAGTAATGCATTTCTTTGATTATTTCCCTTTATTTCAAGGTCTGAAGGGTTTGCTACAGTGGTTGAAGAATATTTACCAATGTTTTCTGCCAGCCACTGTGGAGAGAGAACAAGGGATAAGGTTTGGGCTACATATGGAAAGTTCAATGTGCACGTGATTTATTATTTTATTTTCTCGCACTGATGCAGCCCTCTTCTCTTGACACTGCGGTTGGGAAGGAACCTGACATCGACTCAAAAGTTAGCCAACCATTAATTACGTAGGCCAAAACCCATCATAAGCGCTTGTATTATCTTGGCCGGAAACTTCCATAGACATTCAAACTCCGACTGAACAAGGCAGTTGTCCCGCTGAGTCCGTTGCGCGGTTAACGCCAGCCGGCGCGACCAGAGGATGAATGTAAGCTTCGTCAAGCCATCCATACACACGTAACTAACAGTATGCAGAATCTCCTCAGGACACTCACCGAGAGCCAGGTTAGGCCCTCGCCTGACCTTAGGCTACTTCTGAGTGCTGTCAAGGACGCACGCGTGAGTCTTGTTGTTCCGTGCTGTGCTAAAGCAGAAATAATGCATTAAAATCATTCTAGCGCCAAAGCTTCGATGCCAAGGTATCAGAACCATTCTATGACTCCCTTGAGGGACTGCTTCATGATCTGCGTACAGTGACCATGGTGTGTGCATGCGGATCAACGCTATCTTACCCCGCTGACATCATACACAGGATAATCACGACGCGGAGGCGTTCCTTAAGCCAGTTGCAAAATCCGATGTTCCGACTACTACGATGGTGCGCGCACATATCCCGTCTCAACATATCTTGTCTCATACCATCTAGTGATCGTAAACCCCATGGACCTTCAAACCATGCTCAAGAAGGTCAAATCAAAGCAATACAAGTCCAAGCGCGAGTTTGCAGATGATCTAGATCTGATATGGTCAAACTGTTTCACCTACAATGCGACTGAGGTATGTATCACCGTCGTGAAAACGCGTGGTGAGGCCCACTGTGCCGCGCAGGACCACCCTCTCCGCCAGTGCGCAATGCGCCTCAAGAAAAAAGCCGATAGACTACTGAAGAACATCACTGACCGCAAGGAACGAATCGACCCTCCCTTACCTGCTGCTTTATCCCAGCCTTCGCATTCCGCTTCTCCCGTCCCAATGAGACCTAACGCGACGGCACGGCCCAAGATTAATGGCACGGCATATGCTCACAGACGATCTCCGTCATTGACCGCAACACAAACTACCATCACCCCAAAGCAGCGCATGGATCTCCCCTTTGCCGATTCTCCTGCGCTTGAGCGTACGCCACACGGTATGGCCGCGTTCCATGTACTCGAGTCAGAAGCTGGTCCATCAAGCATCCCGAATGGATACAGCTCATCTGCTTCTACAAATGATTATGATAGCGAAGCAGACGAAGGTGTTAATGTCAATAGATAACGACTCGGGGGAGAAACGCAAGCTGTGAGCCTCGCCTTTTTGTTCCTTTACCAATGCATCTTCCGTACATTGATCGGCAAATACTGATTGCGGTACCTCTTCGCTTATTCGATGCAGAAACGGTTCATCTTACCGTCCTCGTAAACGCGTACGTCTAAGCCCTGCTCCCTTTGCGCCTATTCCCACGGCAGACGACCCGAATTCGACTTGGTGGTCCTCTGTTCAGTCCGACTTATTCCTCGCCAATGGACTTCCAGCCCTTCCCCAGCCTTTTGCTGCATCGACCCTCTATCCGCAATCCCAGCCATACACTCATCACAATTTGCAAGGCCCCGCAAGCGACGGAAACTCCGCCCTCAGTCCCTAGCAAAATACAGGGACAGAGATACTCCCGCACCCAACACCCTCCTCAGTATCATGAACATGAACATTAAAACTCTTAAACGGGTCCGACGTACGCATGCTAAGTTTGCCGCGCTCAACCTAAACACAGAAGAGGGTGGTATGGGTGATGAGCCGCCAGATCTGGGGGAAGAAGGCATGGTTGATGAGGTGATAGATGAGCGGCCGTGGCGAGCGAGATATGCTGGCCTTAGACAAGTGAAGGGACCGGTGGAACTAGAAGTTGGTGAGAAGAACGCGGACGAATGTCTGAAATGGATGAATCGGAAGGTGCTAGAGCATGAAGGATTTCAAGGTGCGTTCCATGCTCTTCTTTCATCATCATTTTGTTTGGTGTAATAGGCAGCTAGAGGCTAGCGTACTTACTTTCACTATATGTCCAGGGACGTCAAGCGCTGCACTGGATGTGATGGCGGGGGTGACGTCTGAGTATTTCCTCAATGTTGGTCGAACGCTACGATTCATGTGCGACAAGTATGCGAAGAGCATGACGCCAGAGGTACGTCTCACCTTTTCTCTCCCATTGTTAACCTGGAACTCACTGGTAGTGTTATAGGAAATCATCCTGCATACACTCTTCGAGAGTGGAGTGACGAGGATTCAAGATCTTGAGCGGTACATCAAGGACGACGTCGTCCGGCACGGTTCGCGCCTTATTGACCTCGAGAAGAAGCTTGTTGGAGCGTATCGCGAAGCTGTCAGTCTTTCCTTCCTTTTACTCATTAGTCAACATCCCTTGTACTCACCATATGCACAGACACAGGTAGAAGTTCTTGACGACGATGCGCTTTTCGCTGGCGAGGATGACGAAGAGGACGAGAGTGCGTTTGTTATGGGTGGATTTTCTGACTCACTTGGTGATGACTTTCTCGGGTTACGGGAGCTTGGCATTGCTGCGGAATTGGGGCTATCGAGTCTCACTATCCCAAAGAAGTTACTCAAAGGGAAATCACGGGGAGCGGCAGGGGCTGCCATCGAGTACGTCTTATCCATCCAGTCTCACGATTTCTCGTCTAATTTTATTCCGCTCTCAGGGCAAAACCCAAAGAACCGCCACCGCCATATCCACCACCGCCTTCGCTACTTCCTATCACGAGCAAGAATGTGGGCGATCAGATCGGGCTATTGCGTCCCTACTTTCATATGCGGCTTGCAGCACTCGCACCTCCCGGCACCTTCCAAGGTCTCCCTTACCTCCCACCTGGCCCTCAATTTGGCTTACTTCCTCACCCTGGTGCTATACCATTACCTTTTGGACCAAGTTCGTCAGGCGAGTTCACACGCGTCATCACGATTGCAGACGATGCACCCGCACCTGCGCAGGCGAAGCTTGGACCTTTGGGTCAGGTACTCAAGACAGGTGCTGCTGCAGGGACTGTCAAGAAGAAGAACAAAGCGAAGGAGCCGGTGCTAATGTCAATGCCCGATATGTCGGATGCCGTTCCAGTGGAACCGATGCGCGCATTCAGTGGGCTTGGGGTGGAGGGAAGAGATGTTGGTGGCGCTGGAGCTGGAGCTGGCGGTGGTAGCACTAATGGATTAGGTGGGGGGACCAATGGAGCAGGGGGTGGGGGGACCTTGGGTATAGCGGGAGGAAGCAAGAAGAAACCGGGTCCGCAAGCGCAAGGGCAGGGAAGGGCGATGGAGCTTCCGCCTGTCATTACTGCGAGCGCGTGAGACGTGCGGGTCTTGCTATTACATACATACTTACACTTTATATTCGCATGGTCATTGCTGTCCGTACTATGCATTTGTGGATCATACACTATACCTGTAGCATTATTCTATGTATTGCACTGGACGTTGGATTCGTACGTGGGTCGTGTGGTCTTGGAACGCTGAAGAATCCTTTTAGTTGGAGGTTGAACATCAGATCTCAAATTGCAAGAGGTGTGCACTGGACATAACACATACGCCTATGTCGCATTTCCGGGACTAAACTTAAATCGAAGCAATGGCGTCGGCCCCCCGAAAGTGACAGTGCGCAGTGATATTCATTCCTGCAATAGCTATTACTGTGCGACAATGAATTTCCTCGTCACGATCCGCTACTTGCTCATCAAGATGTCGTGAATACACCACTGGCACGCGCATCTTGGCGCATTAATGTCTGGGATTCTCGTTCATTGCTCTGGATTCTGCTCTGGCCTTTCAGATTTTGCACAACGATCTCCGTCCCAGTCACCATCCCATTTTCATTCATGTCGATTGTTCCGAGTCGTTGGTTCTGTGTAGGCAATTCTGCCTCTTCCTGCATCATATTATTCCTGACAGTTTATGCGCACCTCAGGACGACGAGCTCTGCCGATTGTAGTGCCCGAAGGATCTCGCATCTACATGCATTGTGTATTTCAGCTGTTATCTTTTGCACTTGCCTCATTGCGGAGCCTGGGGCCTCTCTGCAATATCTATTTGGTGAATTGGTTCTGGGGTTGGACTTCGTTACTTTCTCTCCTGCGACGAGGACCAACTCAAATGTCTGTCTGGGTAACGTTCATATCCTTTGTTCATGTTACTTTGTCTATGGTACTATAAATATTATGATTTCGTACGGCGTGCTGTAAATACTCAAGCAACATATGAATGGACAACGGTGGGACAGCGTGGCGTGTCGCATCTTAATATCTTCACCGTGGCTGAGATGACCCTGGAGTCCGGAGAGGATGTTCCTGTATTCGTGAGTCAGGCCTTGATGTTGTGAGTCTAGAGAACGTTGGAAACACCCACCATCGCAAGTTTCTGGCCTTCTGATAAAATAGCGAGACAAGACTGTAGATCCTTCAAACTCCACTGTCTTTCGAGCCAGGAGAGGAGATTATGATTCCAGAAGGATTTGAATAGATGGGCAAGCTTCCCGTCCCACGGATTTGGAGCTCGCGAGAGATGGTTAGCCCAGTTTTGACATGCATAATTGAGGGCATTGGAGGCTGATTGACTGTGTGTGCATGCTTCATATGTGAAAGTTGAAAAAGCTTTCATAGCATGGATGATCTCCATGTCTGGTGGGTAACTTTGTGATAATGCAGAGGTGGAATGATCCTGGTGCCTTAATGCCAGGAATGTCAGGAACATCAAGAAATCAGGCAGGGACTTGAGAAGCTAGATTGCTTGAAAAGCTGGCTGCAAAGGCAGTTCTGGGGCAATTGTGTACTCCCTGATTGCTTCTAAATTGCTCAAAAATTCTTTGACAGTCACCCAGATAGTCTTCAAATGCCATGCTTGACCATATGGTGTTTGGAGCCAGTCCTGGCCACCCTGGGTCTGCAACCAGTCTCAGCCATATGTCTGCAGCCAGTCTTTCCCACCCTGGGTCTGTAGCCAGTCTTGCCCGCCTGAGGTTGGCAGCCAGTCTTGACCGCCTGTGTCCTGCAGCCAATTTCTCCCACTTTGGGTCTGCAACCAGTCCCACCCTCCATGGTACTGCATCCACTCTTGCCCATCAAGGGTCTGCAACCAATGTAGGCTGCCAGGAACCTTCAGCCAGGCTCCCTCATCTGAGGTCTGTAGTTGGTCTCCCCTGTTGGGGGGTGGTTGTGAGGATCGCTGAGATACAGAGGATAGCAGTGAAGGCTGGGGGATTGAGGGAAAAGTGCGGGACCACTGCTGACCACTTAGGGTCTGCAGCCACTCTCACCTGGGCCCAGGCTTGGCCTGCAGCCACTTCAACTCAGCCTGCATCCACTGTTCCCCCTGCTCAGTCTGCAGCCACTCTCACCCCTGCTCAGTCCATGGCCACTCTTGCCCCTGCTCAGTCCACAGCCACTCTTGCCCCTGCTTGGTCTGCAGCCACTCTTGCCCCTGTTTGGTCTGGAGCCACTCTCGCCCTTGCTCGGTCTGCAGCCACCCTTGCCCGTGCCCAGTTGGCAGCCACTCTCACTCGACCTTAGTCCGCAGCCATTCTTGCCTGTCCCTGGTCCACAGCCACTCTCGCCCATCCTCTGTCTGTAACTGGTGACTCATGCATATGGTCTGCAGCCAGTTTCTCACCTTCAATGGAATGTCCCAGTCTTGCCTGTGAGTCTCCATCCAGTCTCACCCATGAGTCTCCATCCAGACTTGCCCACCCAGAGTCTTCATCCAAGCTCTCCCATCTACAATTTGCAGCCAGTCTCTCCCACCTGGGGTCTGCAACCAGCTATTCCCAAACACAGTCTGTATCCAGACTTGCCCACCTGGGGTCTGCAGCCAGGCTTTGCCATCTGCAGTTTGCAGCCACTGTCCCCCACCTGGGGTCTGCAGCCAGATACTCCTGCCCACAGTCTGCAGCCAGTCTCTATGGTCCCCAGCTTTCAACCAGTTTCACCCACCCATGGTCTTCAGCCAACCATGCCTGCTCAAAGTGTTCAGCCAATCTTGCCTGCCTGAGGTCTTCAGCCAATCCTACCTGCCCAGGGTTTCCAGCCAGTCTTGTATGCCCAGTGTCTCCAGCCAAATTCATCCGTGCTTGGTCAGTAGCCACTCCCGCACACCTGGCATTTGCAGCCACTGTTGTCCACCTTGAGTCTCCACCTAGTCTTTCATGTCTTCAGTCTGCAGCCAGTCTCATCCATACTGGGTCTGTAGCCAGTCTAGCCTGGCCTGAGCTTGTAGCCAGTTTAACCCACCCTGGATCCACACCCAAACTTTCATGGCTGGAGTCTGCAACCAGTCCAGCCCACCTGGGGTCTGCAACCAGTCCTTCCCCCCTGGGTCAGTAACCAGTCTCTCCCATTGTTGGTCAGCATCCAATCATTCCCTCCCTGAGTCTGCAACCAGGCATACCCATCTGGGGTCTCTAGCCAGAACTGCAACTCCAAGCCACAATGTCCACGAACCCATAGCAGACCTATGAGAACTTGCAGTGGCCCTGGTGGCTGGACAATGAAGGATAATGAGTTTTTCAAATTCTTGGGGTCCTGGGATTGCATAGCTTGGCTGTGCTTCTTCAATTCTGAAAGCACAACTAGGAGGGCAGTGCCATCTGGAAGGTCTCTCATCATCAAGCGGAAAGAAGAAAGAGCGAGTAGGGAGTGCAGTGATGTGATGTATTGTACCTGATGGAGGCTGCAGTTTGAGCACTGAGAAACATAGTCACAAATGGACAAGTGATAGATATCTATGGGGAGACTGCTGTCAGTGGGAACATTTATGACAGATTGTAGCTGCATCAGTACTGTCTTGACATCCCTGCCATGGCCAGGGCCAAGAAGCTTTGAGATCTGCAACATTGGAAATGGGTCTGTGAGGGCAGCAATGACAGACAAGTGCAGATATGCTAGTGTTGGGTCAGCACATGTGGAGAGGATGCAGTTGTAGAGCTTGTACACCTCCATTCCTGGTAACATTTCACTCATTAGCTCGAGCATGAGCTGAAGTTGATCACAGGGATCATGGTTTCGATCATCAATGAATTTCATCATCGTAGACGCAACAATAAAATGTCTCCCCACTTGGCTTGCCAGCTGTGCAAGTTGATTGGCCAATGGCTGTGGGAAGTCTGGATAGTGACTTCCCTTCTCTGAATGAGTGCTGCAAAAAAATGTAGATGTCATTGTCAACATCTGCACCATCTAACGAGATGGTGGTAGCAACACCCTTCCCAAAGGTCTTCACTAGTATTTCACACAGAAGCAGGCGCATCTCTTCAGCCTGCATAGCTTTGCGGATATGCTCTTTCAAGCGACTTGTGAGCAGAATGTGGACAATGGGCAGATCAGGTTCACGAAGAGCTTCGCCAAGCAGGGAGATGACATCAGCTAACTCGTTTTCAGAGGTAGGTTCATCAAAGGATTTGGATTCAAGTGATTCAGGTGTGCATTCATCAAGGGCATCAATAACAAACACCAAAGGCAGACAGTCATGAAGTCTGGGGAAAAGATTCTGGAGAGGTCAGAGAAACAATGCCTCCATCTGATCCCAAAGAGACTTGTCAGGATCTAGCAGGGTGGGATTTTCAATGATGGCTCTGTTCACGTCCCCCCAGATGCTGGAAAAATTGCAGGCAAGCCGGTAGGCAAGCATCACAAAGAAATAGCCAGTGGTGCAGCATTTCATGTGCTTGTGCAAGAAAAAGAATGTTCCCCTGAGCCATTTTTCTTTCCTTGCCCCCTCTGTCATTTTCAGATCTCTCATCTTTTCAGCTACAGTGAATGCAACAGCAGACTTTCCAACACCCACCATGCCATGCAGCCATATAAGTCAATTCTTCTCTTTCTTGTCCAAGAACCCATAAATGTAGTCAAAGAGGTCTACCCAAGTCCCTTTTAGACATTTTGGATGGGGCTGGTGTTCACAGGAGTCACACTCAGCACCCTTGACAGCAACCTGGGAAAACCTCTCCCAAGTTCCTTCAATTGATCGAAGATTGCCACAAACTGTTGATGAGGTTAAGGTTAGAATGTGAAAGAGATCAGAGATGTGAATACTGACATTGATCCTGGTAACTCATTATGAAAGATTGATGATAAGACACGATTGGCAAGTTTTGGAATAGAAAGATCAGCACTGGTGTTCAAGAATCAACAGTTTGGTTAGGTTAGACATCATATGCCAGTTATCTCGAGGAAAGACGTATGAAAACGCTAATCGAAAAAATCTAAGCTGCAACTTGAGGGAAGGATAAGTTGTGAAATCGCAAGTTTATCCGATGGTGACAGTTTGAGCAAAGATTAAGCGCTAAGCTGTGAAGCAGCTGTGGAGTATTTAACGGAAATTGATTCCAGTAAGTACTTGCTGTGCGTGCTGTCACATGATGGCGTACAGCCAGCACTGGGCGCGCGCTCAATTGCCAAGTCAGGCGCTGCCGCCGTCAGGAAGCAAGTGGCACTTTTCAATTTACAGAACGGCCATCACGATGCCTTCTGCGAGCTTCTATGCGTTCGCTCCGTGCTGTTCCCTCCTTGCGTTTTCCAGGCCTTCTCCTTGCTAACCTAATGTGATCTAGAGTGACAAGTGCAAGGCATACAAGCGCAGGGGCTGGCGTTCTACCATGATTTAAGGACGAGGATTCCAACCGTCACAACAGAACAGCAGCACTCCTCTCCAATTCCTCAACACTCACCAACTACCTACTCCCAATACCAACATGACTGACGTTCTTGGTGTTCTCGTCATCGCCCGTAATGGTGACCGCACAGAGTACTACCAGGACCCCAAGACCTATGAGAGCTCCTACACTGAAAGCACTGCTCTTGGTGTTGTAAGTCACTTGTATGCGGCTTGTAACTTCCCTAGCTAATGCAGCCTGCACTACAGGTCCAGTCTCACCAGCTCGGATCCTTCCTTCGCTCACCTACATGTCCTCGTCTTCTCCTTCATACATCGCGAACATGAAAACCGACCTGTAGACACCCATGAGGTCCACGTCCATGCCAAGGCTGGCGGTGAGGGTACCGTGATATTTGACTCTGCTGTCGCCCTCCTCCAGGGTCTTTTCCCTCCCAACCCTGCCAACAGGAT